GTGAATACGGATGAAGAGGACGATGCAATACCATTCGACGAAACCTTCGACGATGACTATGGGAACGAAGAAGAACCAAGGCAGGATCAGTCAGGCATCGGAAATACTGAAGGCATCGGAGAAGCGGCGGAGACACCCTTGATGGCAAGCTTCGAAACAGCGCCAGATACAGAGGAAATTCGGGAGTCAACGCGAATGAAGGAGAAGTCAAGAGAACCGGAGGGTTTAGAAGATCAAGTGATCGACAAGTCTTCAGAATCAGCATCAGGATCATCTCCGGAAATTCAGATCAACGTAGATACGGATAGGTATCCGGAAAATCAAGGCCAGTTAGGAGAAGAGCTACAGATTTGAACACGGCAATTATGGAATCTCCAGGTAGAGAAGAAGATCACTCAGATCAGGCTAGGCAACAGCCAATTAGAAGGAAACGCTTTAAGGGAAAATATTCTAAGTAATGTTGAGGACAACATTTAGGTAGCGAGACCGAGCAGATTGGGTCAAACGTATGGTGAAAAAGTGGCAGGCATGTGTCGGGAACGGAACGGAGATGTACGGAATGTGCACGACGGATAGAAGATCGACCGGAAGAAATGTTGGATACATATTTTGATGGGAATCGGCGCTGGCATCGACGGAATTCAACCAATAGGATTCAAGAGAGACAGCCGAGTGGTGGGGTGTGAGAGACAGTTGGATCATTCGACGGTGTGGACTCGACCGGTCAAGACCAATCGTTAAAGCTCCAACGAACGTCTCGATTCAGTGAAGATCAGGATGCAGAACGAAGGTTGTACAAGCTGCGGGGACAACAGGCACACGTCAGGTTCGGTAAGTTGTAGGGCGCGTGACGCGGAGTGCACCGCCTGTCATCAGATCGGCCATTACGTCCGGATGTGCGCACTGTACCGAGGGCCCAGGCAGGCAAGAGCTCCAGCTCCGATCGTCAGGTCGCAGGAAGCGATCGAGTTGCTACAGGCCATCATGATCTCAGGGAGAGCCAGCGTTCAATCCAGGTCCAGGTTCAGCCAATTCGTGAGGTACCGTATCAGGCAGTCCCGGAAGAGCAGGAGGAGCAGGCCGGCGGGGAACAGGAGGAGGTGGTCGCACAGGGACAGGACCTTCAGGCGGAAATCGAGCCGCAGGTAAATGAGATCGGCGGAGAGGAACCAGTCAGGGCACAGCCGGAGTCCACGAGGTGGCGATGCACAGTATGCATGGACGAGGCCCGAAACGCCGTCGTGACCACGTGTGGTCACTTATCGTGTTGGACGTGCCTGTGTCGATGGGTCGCCGAGGGAACGGCGGGGGAATGCTGCCCTGTTTGCCGGTCGGAGATCCGACTCGAGAGATCGATACCGATCTTCGGAACCGAGACCGACGAGGACGTCGAGGGCGAGGACATGCCGCCGAGACCTAGAGCCCTCTACGTGCCCAGAGACGAGAGGAGACGATTGTACTAACGTATATTCGTTGAAAAAAAATTTATAATAATAATTTCGGTAATCCGACGTGGATAGCTAAATAAAACGAATATGTGTCGCACCCGGTTAGATAGTGTCCTCAACTAGGTACGTAATAACAGGCGTTTCCATAGGAATTAGGCATTCGGTTAGGCTACTCGTCAGGGTTAGGATTAGGCAATCCAGGTTGATCGGGAGATCAAAAAAATGGTAGCTGTGGTCGAATGTCATAGGCGAAATGTATCAGGGACTTCTGTGGTCAGGTACACGTTGCATGATCGTCACCGCGGAGCCTATGACGTCAGTCGAGAGTTGGGTGTCGTAGCCGACGGCACGCGCGACGCTCAGTCCAATCGAGTATTCGCCCAATAAATCAGTGAGGTGAAATAAGTCGAACATTCCTCCCTTCAAGCCATTCCCCATAGTAGGAGTACTTATCACATAAGGAAGGCGCTTGCTCTTACGGATACAGGTCCGAGTAGGGAAATACCTATTCTCAACACACCGTTCCATTCACCTGACTCGACTTGATCTGTAGCCGTAGTTGTCACGCCTCCATTCACCTGGATCTCCGCCGTTCCTTTTTGGCGGTTTGTCAAAGCTTCTCCAGTACGCTCTTCAGATCTTTTCCAGCCACGCGTTTTGAGTCGATGGACAGACTCGACTTGCGCTTTCACCGTACCGGGGCATTGAGCCCTCAGAGGCATATCGGGCAGAGGCGCCTTTTTGTCACGTGCTGGTCTAACTCGACTCGGACGTGCGATCATGCGCCCGAGTGGCCGCGACACCGACGTTCTCAACACGTGACAATCGAGACTCGCCGCTTGCGATCATTCTCAATTTCTGCCGCGCGGAAACAAAACGCATAAGTCTGAAGATGCCGAAAGTCAAGGTAAGTTCCAGAGCCAAGCTCCAGTCCTATATGAAGATCTGTGGCGACGGGATCCTCTCGACCGACGGACACGTTATACTGTGCAAAACCTGCGAGGAGCAAGTGACAGCTGACCGGAAATCTCAAATCACCCAGCATCTCAATGGCGCGAGACACAAATCGCTCCTTTTCAAGAAGACTCAGGCGACATCATCGAGTGTAGTCCAGATCGGCTCTTTCCTGGAGACCTCGGGGAGACAATCAAAATCCAAGCTCGATCTTTGTGAAGCGATGGTCTCTGCTGGTATGCCGTTGCGAAATCAAGAGAACGCGAAGTTGAAGCGTTTCCTCGAAACATATTCGAGGGAGCAGATACCCTGCCCATCGACTTTTCGGAAGATCTTTTTGGAGAGTGTCTATGAGCAGAAGTTGGACTTCATCAGGAACGCTGTGGATGGCAAATCGATATGGCTATCTATCGATGGGAGCACCGACGTAACCGGCCGATCCGTTGCTCACCCGGTCGTGGGCTCGCTCGGAACGGAAGGGACCAAAAGTTTCCTATTGCATGCAGAAAGTGAAGACCAACAGCTCCACGATTCCACAAGTGTTCATGAATTCCCTGGCAGTACTCTGGCCAGATGGAATTCAACATGAGAAGGAACTCCTCTTTGTCTCCGATGGTGCCGCTTATATGAAGAAGCCCGGCGCTGCTCTGAAAGTGATCTTCAGCAAAATGCTACATGAAGCGTGTTCTGCTCGCGCAGCGCATCGTACAGCCGAAGAAGTCAAGCTCTTCGGTGATCTATGCTCTCGATGCCAGTGAAGTCGCCAGCATACGTGTCGTCCAGCAGCTCTTGGAAGCGGCAACGTTGGAAGACAATCTCACGTTCATCGACGCACACTTCAGTGCTCTTTCGGAGGGCACCGAAGCGCTCGAAGAGCAAAACGTACCCCTCGTAGAGAGCACTGAAAACAAGCGCTTCTCGTCTAATATACCATATATTCGGTCGGCGAGGGAAATGCCTCGCTTCCGAGCACTTGATTCGACATACGAGAGTGCAGAAAGAATCCGCCTCGAAGGGGAGAGCTTTGAACCTGGATGAGCACATCACACATGCTTCTGAGGAGCATCGGGAAGATTGCGTCGGCAATGAAGGTTTTTCGTGGCCTCATGGACATGCCGAATTCCTGTCGTCGGTATGAAAAATTCTGGAGAACATTGAGAAAACTCGCGGACAGAATATGTACGGAGTCGATGAAACAGGCGGCGCGGCGAAGGAAACTGTCATCCTGAAAGATGGATCCACCGATGTTGCTCTCGATGGCACCTGGCAAAAACGCGGCTTGACGTCTCTGGATGGGCTGGTTACAGCAACTAGTTTCGATACCGGCAAGGTTCTCGACGTTAGCCTTCTCTCCAAATATTGTCGATGTCCTGGCAAGGCATCCAATGCTCATGGCGAGAAGTGCTACGCGAATTTCCAGGGTCTTCGTGGGGCTATGGAAACGGAGGGAGCCACAGAAATGTCGCGACGGTCAGTGAAACCCCATACGCCATAAGAAGTATCTCGGGGACGGCGACTCCAACGCTTACAGAGCCGTTTCATCCGACGAGCCGTATGGGAGTGAATTGAAGATCGAAAAGTTAGAATGCGTGGGGCACATTCAGAGGAGGATGGGTACACGGCTTCGAGAATTGAAAGCAGCTTTCAAAGGTGAGAAACTTGAACACGGGAAACCGATTAGCGGGAAGAATCGCCTAACTGATGCAATCATAGACAGAATCCCAAGCTTCTACGGGTGGTATCGCACCAGGACCTTTCTGTGTTGAAGCTATGAAGGATTCGGATCTGAAAAAAGCTGCGTAGTGCAGGCGGAGAAGCTCTGAATACTTTCATGTGGCTCGCTTCGCTCAGGTCTAAATCCTTCCCTGAACCTCTTATAACATCCCCTCATAATGATAGAGTGAGACTTACCATGATCAATAATCACCAGGATCAACACTATTGTATGGTCAAAGTACATAGACCCGGCGCCGAGTTGCGCTTGCACCGAATGTTCGTCTCGCCGAACTCTTGGTGACTTCTCTCCGCCTTCACCCTGCCTCAACCTCCGAGCCATGGAACTACCTGATCTCAATAGCGTCCCGCCTGAAAATCACCGATACGCCCTACCTTTTTCTCCCTCCGAATACGGAAGACAAACGAAGCATCAGTTCATTCAATTATTCCGTATTTATTTTCATCTCATTGCTCGGGAGTTTCTTTTTATTATAACCCTCACGCATCGAGTTTGCGATGACCGCTTCGGCCCACTTATAGACATTCGGTGCTGACGCTGGTATCGCGTCGCCGTATGATTCCACCAAGAACTCGTTGCGGTACTTCTTGCTTGCCCACTTTTCCTTGAATTCACTGAATCATCTCTTATGCTTGAAATCAAAGTGGTCTTGCCCCTGTTTTACAGCCTGTTGGAGAGCGAGTTCTCCGTCTAGACTCTTCCTCTTCTTATTATTCTTCTGGTCGTCGGTGCAGAATAGACACACAGGCTTCCATCCATCCTTGTCTTCTCTGACGTTTCTCAAAGTGACCGGGCCCCTTGGCTTCACGGATAGCAGTACACCTAGGAGGAAACCACGGATATTTGTCCAACCCTTCTCGGATAGCTTGCTGGACGCGGCTTGGAATTGTTCGACGAGGGTCTTGGCCCGTTTTGCTGGGGTAGGCTCAGCCCTCGGACTGCTGGGATTATTTCCCTCTTCATCTAATGCCCTCATCTGCCTTTTCCGTAATCCCCTCTTTATTCTCTTCCCCATTTTGATGACTAGAACATAGACACGGAATCGAAATCATAGATGTACGTTTCCCTCGGAAACAGTAAGCATTAGAAAATCTTTATACCCTTTGCCCATAGAGTCCGAAAATGATCGGGGTGTTACCTACACCGAATCACAGCAAGAATCGACTCCGAAAACCTTCGGAAAGAGGATCCTGAGGATTATGGGACTTCTATGCATGCAGCTTCAGCAAGTACTGTTGAAATACAGACAGCTTTCAGTAAAGTAGCTGTAACATTCTCAGTGTGATTACGCAGGGTAGTGAGGCAATCTTGTGTGACCCAGATCGGAGGAACTCCTTTCTTCCGATCTGGTAATGCAGACGACCCTGGTCTGAAGGACTCCCGTCTTCAGACCAGTGCTTATGCAAGCGATGCTTTCCACTAGGGTATATATACTGGTAATAAAGACTCGCACAAGCGAGGAGCTACTGATTCACAACGAATCCCTGTATCTTTATTCCGCCGTGATCTTCCAGGCTCACAGCTTACTTTCAGATCTAGTGTCCACCGACTGACCACCAGTGGGTTATATCCAACATTCGTTATTGCGCACGATCGAATCTGCGGACACTTGTGATTGAACTTAAGTTTTGTGAGTCTTTCTTAGTGAGTGACTCGTTTGTGTTCTTAGTGAAACAACGGTGCATCCTCGAGAAGTGCAAATGGCAACTCGAGTCAGACAACGAGCACAGGAAGATTCCACCAGCTCCCACGGCTATAGTGGCTTAGGCGATGACCAGCCCGGGCCATCAGCACTAAGCTTAGGCGACACTAAACCACCAAGGGGTGATGACGACACGGGAGACATCGGCGAGCTCCATATCGCGACACGAGCTCGCAGCCGTGATGTTGTGATCCTGAGACTTGACGGCAGCAACTATACGGAGTGGCGTGTGCTTATCGCTCCAGCTCTGGATGCAGATCCATATGCACTGGAGGTGGCGATGGGAGATCTCATCCCTCCTACCCCCGGATCAACGGACAAGGCCTCTGTGATCCAGCAACGGAAATATGATACAGGTAACCGGGCGGCCCGATGTACGCTTTTCGCGTCACTGCAGCCTGCTCTGGCTGTATCCATGTTCCCCGGCAATTCGGCGACGGTGGCTGCCTCTGAGATGTGGAAAGACATCACCGGTCGGTTCACCGCCACTAACGGTGGGCTTAAACGACTGGCGATGTCCAAACTCTCGAGCTACACCTACCAACCGAATAAAACCGCCGGTGAGAATCTCTTCCGTTACAACCAGATCATTTCCCGCCTAGCTGGTCTAGGACTGGACATCCCGAATGATCTGAAGATCACATTCCTGCTGGACGCTCTCCCATCTAACTGGGAGTCCTTCAAACAAGGATTCACCTCGAGGGAGG